TATTATATATTAATTAATTTCATAATATAACTTATATCATACTATTAATTCTAAATTTTCATTTTAAATTTGTATTCTCTCTACCATTACTCTAAATCTTCACGGTTATGGAGGATTCAAACCTATGCGAGAGCTAAGCAAGCAGTTACCCACTGTATACAGTTATGATTCCAAGTAAAGATTCCAATATTTGGATAATGTTTTTTTTTTTTCCATTCTTGGAGAAACTTCATACAGATAGGATTTCCTAATATATATCCATGGACCCCAAAAGAAGAAATAAGAAACTGCCCCGGCTAAAACCTTCGAAACAATAATTAACAAATAGACAAGAATTAGAGGTGTTTGATTTTGGAAGTTTACAAATAATTATAACTTATTAGTTTTAATTAAATAAATTAAATATTTTGAATTATATATAATAATAATTATTAATTGTTAAATATCAATTATCAATTATTAACTACATATCTAAACAATTAATCCAAACAACTTTTAAAATAAGTAACCAATATTGTACTAAGTTCTAAAACTACATTCAATCGTATTCAACGAACCATGCCAATTGCACTATATTTGTGTGACCCTCCGTTTGGGTAAAAATTGTAGTTGTGACTATTAAATAAGTATTATGACCAACTTTGGGCATGGTCATTTGAGTTGGTCTCATGGTGGTTTCTTCTTACAGGTGTACGTACCCTTATTCTGACTATCATGGATGATAGGAACATAAATCTCATATTATTTGGGTAGATCTCATTATAGGCTTACAAGTCATACTTGTGATTGTTATTAGGTTTAATAAGAACAAATTAAGTATTGTCAATAATCTAAATAATTCAGTAATCATTTTTTTCTACTGAAAATAAGAAATTCTGAATTCGAGTTGTATCGCATATAGGTGGAGTGAGATAAGGGATGAGAGATAGTTGCCTTCTATTGTGTAACCAAGATAAAAAAAAAAAAAACAAAACAAATTAAGTATTCAAGCCAAGGAGATTATAATGATTTAATTATGATACAAAATTGTGATTGTAATTAATATGTAAGCGTCATGACTATCCAATTAAATAAGGGACTTGCTCTAATACCAATTAAAATGATTTGGGCCAAAGCCATTACTAACATTAAAACTATAATTGTGACAGATATATAAATATCAAGGATAAATCACTACTAACAATACAAACTTGAGCTTATAAGAGCAAAACTTATCTTAACAATCACCTAAATTTGATTCCAAAGAAAATTTTAAAAATCTTAATTAACAATAAAAATTATTAAAAAATTTCGATTTAAATCATTTTAGTTAGTGTCAAGGTTGTTTATATATTCCATCACCAACTACCATTCAAGACAAATTCTGATGACTTCATTCTTAGTTATCATCAATTCCCCACTAATATAATTAATATATGTCACAAGTTTTACATCAACACAACAGCGTAATGACACAAATAATGTTCCAACATTTCTACGTCGTCTTCCCTTTTTCTTAACCTCTGTTTAAGCCCAAATTAATTATGAAATACGACCTAATCAGCATTAGAAGATGCCTTATTATGGCTGTCTATAAATATTTATTTTGCAACTTGACATAAACTAAGCAATTCTATGGATAACAACAAGAAAACAGACGGCCATCGTCTTGCATACTTGATCTTCTTTTCCTTCTCCTTTTTTATTTAATTTTGTTTATAATTGTTAATTACATATATCTTGAAAATGATGTTTATTGAGGAAATTTGCATATGAATAATCACTAATTTTCTTTGTTGATTCTGACATGTTTAGATTGATTAGGATTCAATTTTTTGAAAAGATTAATGAGAAGGTAATTTTTCATAAATTGTTTAGTCCCAATATAGATGTTCTACTTTTAGTTAAATGGGAGAGAGATTAGTTTCAAAATGCGCATAAATTGATTTGAAAATATTTTAACTGCTAAATCAAAAAAAAATGTAAGATGTTGAGAAGAGAAATTGTGCCTTTTTTTTTATTTTTTTTTTTTTTGAATAACTTCAATTCCACGCATATATACTTGTAAAATATGTTGT